AGCAATACATTTTTAAAACTCAGGGGGGATTAAAGAGAATGATTTTCTATTCAAACAAGAAAAGAAAAAGGAACTATGAACTTAACAGGGTCTTAAAAACACACACAGGATGGAAAAGAAATTCCTCCAAACTATTGAAAAAAAATTAGTAACACGCAGATTTTATCATCTACTTCCTCCTCCTCAAAGGGATGTTTTGTTATCCACTTAGACTGAAGAGTTTGCTTTCAACCAAATTAAGGGCTCAGATGTAAAGAATAGGTAAGGAAAAAAAAGAAAGAAAAACCTGACATACCACAACCCAACCAATTTCAACAGTCCATTTTATTATGAGGTAGAACAAAGAACAAAACAGATAGATCCAAAATGGCAAAACTCCAGAAACCTCATTCAGTTAATCTACTAGATGTTTTGCCAAACCTTATCCAAATAACCCAATTATTACAGTCTACAGACTAAGGGAAATTCTTACAAAATTGGCCTCCATTTGGAACCTCAAATCATGTCTCCTCTCGGGTCAAACTGATCACTAGGCTTGCCTTGTAGAAGCTTTTGCCTCTGAGCTTAACTGCAGTTTTGCAAACTGAAAAATGAGGGAAAGCATCCAGGTAAAATTCTGGATGTAGGTTTAAATTAGATTTTTTTTTCACCTTAAGTAAAGAATAGTTCCTCCTCCTTGTAATCCAATTCCCTGAAACACAGTCCAGTCAAAGTAGAGTCCGAAATTTTGGATTTCCAAACTCGGTTTAGCTTCCAGTGTGCTGGGTGATCACGAGCCCTTAATCTCTGCATCTGCCTTTTTGCAATCGTCATATAACAAGGTTGATCTAGACCTACCTCACAGAGACCATGCAAGGATTAATTAAGGTTCAACTAGAAGAAAAAAAATTGCATTTGACAAGTCAGGCTTCATCCATGCTGCTAAATAGTCCCAGATGTTTTAACAACTGTTCAGATTATTTGGTAGCTTCCTAAGCAAAGAAGAAATTTGCATAATGCTTTTCAGCTGTGAAGACATTTTTAAAAATCAAAGATTCCAATAGATCAGATGGGGAGAGACAAACAATGTGGCTCCATTCAAGTTGAACTCATCATACTGGGCACCATTCACCCCAATGTTTTCCCATCAACCAAGCATTGTGAACATACACGTGCTTAGGAGAGTCTCAAGGCCAGGCAAGACTTCATACTTTCTCAAGACCTTCCTTTCTCTTGTAAAGATGGTGACTGGATTTCAACATCTCTTCATGTCTTTTGTGTTGCTGAGGCACAAATGGCTATACGATAGCAACTCTGATTGATCAAGAAAGTATTTGCTTCCATTTTTTAATCTTATACTTTCGTTATCCAAGTATGTCTGATAATTCACTGCCAGAGGAAATCCCAACAACGTTAGAGCTCACAGAGATGACATTGATAATAATAGTATGTGGGTATCAGTCTTTGTAGATTTTACTGGCACATACAGAACCAAGGATGTTCCAAAATGTGTGTGTGTTGGAGGCGATGATGGACAAAGGACAGGAAGAGTATAGAAACACTGAAAGGTAATGGGCTTTGCCATTTTCTTTCTCTTGTTATTAAAGAAAAATAAGATGTTTTAGATTCCTATCTTTGAGGGTCATTCTTTAAGGAATCTTAAAATAGTATGTTTTGCAATATTGTATAGCATCATACTTAGGAATATAAGCTCTACAGTTAGATAATCAAATCTGAATCTCATTTCTCCCACTTGCTGTTTGGGTGACTCTGGAATAAGTTATTCAAAATGTTTGTGTCTTGCTTTCCTCATCTTTTAAATGGAGACTGGTATACTACCTAGCATATAAAGTTATTATGAAGAAAAAAAGTCATGTACATGTAAATCCCTGAGAACAGTTTCTGGAACATAGTAATCATTCAATAAATTTTAATTATTTTTATTATCTAATATTTTAAATGCCCATATTTTAACTCAATATCACTTCAAGCCCAAGAAAGTTTAACCCCTTTTGAAAACTTTTCTAAAATATTCAGGTCTACTTTTGTGTTTCAACTATTGACTATGGAAGAAGGGAATCCTCACAATGTTCTAGAACTTGAAGATCATTGCTCTGACCAACATTTCTCCTTATAAGCATTGTGCTTTAGCAAAATGTATCTCCCGATGCATCCTAGACTTGTGAGGGCAGATATACTGCACACTGCCACAGATCTTTCCTTGGGTACCAATGGGTGTGTGATAAAGAGATTCAAAAGTCCTTACTATTAAAAAACAATGAGCACTTATTTAACTCACCTGTCTGCTGGAGGTCAACTGAACTGGGCTGGATGGCCCTGCTAATCTCAGCTGGGCTTGTTTATCCATTGGTTGATTAGCTGGAGATCAGCTGATCTGGATTCTTGTTTTCCATTTGGAGGCAGCAGCTCAGGCTGGGTGTGTGCATCTTCTGGTGGTGGTAGAAGTGGAAGGGAGCAAGCATCAACATGAAAGGTCTCTTAGGTCTAGTCTCAGTGGTGCACTACCATTCTAACTCACTTGGGTCCAAGGTCACATGATGAATCCCAGAGTCAAGAGGTGGACATGTATTCTTCCTCTGGAAGCTAATTGGAGGGAAATAATATTTCTGAATGATAAATCAACCCACCACACCCATACAGATATTGTCAAATGATCACAATACTCTTCCATTGTGTCTGAGTATAGCTTTTATATCCTTAGCAGCCACTATGATTGCTAGGAAACCTGCTAAATACGAGGGAAAGAAGAAAAAAATCTAATTGAGACTTTGGGTTTTGCAAATATTTAATATATATTTATAGGATAATAGATCTGGATCTCAAATTCTATCCATACTATAAAATATTACATTGTTATATTTTCACAACAAATATTATAGTTATTGAATTGTAACTGAGTTTGAAAAAATATGCATATACAATAAATATCAATGAAAATTGCCATTGGTTTTTAAAATATCAATAATTTATTTAGTTATTTATCAATTACTTATTGTGTTTTGTAAAGAGAACATATTAAGACTCTTTAATAGTACTTTGTTACTTTTCATTAAAAAATATCTGTATATTTTTTACCATTTTGAAACCAAAAATGTATAACATATATAGTTACAATGCCAAAATCACCTACATAGCCACTTCTAGTTCACTTATTTTAAATCATACTAATAAATACTAAAATGATATGTATTTTTTCATTATTCTGTTTATTTTTTAATTAAACTTTTAAAATAACTTCAAATTTTCTTCTTCCAAATGGTTTTAACATTTTAATTAAAATATTATGATTTATGCTTCCTTGACATAATTAATTTAAACATTAAAAGGAAGTACAATTTGCAGATTCACTGTAAGAAAATGTCCTACTGCAACTTGATTTTTATAAAATGCTCATTGTGTATATGTGTGTGTGTATATATATATATATATATATATATATATATATGTTTANTATATATATATATATATGTTTAGTTATAATTATAATTATAGTAAACTAGCATGGGAAAAAAGTTTTCCTGTTAAACCAATGCAAAATGCTTAAAGTGACTACAGTAAGAATGGTTCTGGGTTGAATATAGGTATCTGATTTTTGTCTGTAAATGATAATATTTGCAACAAGTTATCTGTCACATTGAGCACACACACACACACACACACACGTGCACACACACACACACATATACCTGCTGCCTCTTACCAATATGTCATTAATCAAACCATTGATCACACTGTTAAATTTCTAAAAAGGCTATCTTTAAATTGCATCCAATTAACCAGCATACATTTAGAAAGAAAATAACCTTTTAACCTTTTCACAAAAATTTTCACAGGTAGAAAGCAATTTCAGCAACCCTGAGGCATAATTACTATTACTTAAGGGATTTTAGAAAATAGTTCTCATGAAAGTAATTAAGTTTAGCGATGTGGCGATGAAAATGTAACTGTAAAGAAGTTGCCTCTGGATGTCTTAAACAATAAAAACAAAGAATTTCTCCTTCTCTCTTGGTGAATAGCTGTCTCCATTCCTTTCACCCGTAGCTACAATTTCCGGATGTTGGAAGATGGCGGGCAAGGCCAAAGCTTCCGGGTTTTCCTCTGGTGACTGGGCAATCTGCCCTCCTTGTCCGTTCCTCCAGTGCTCATGCATAGCCTCGGGCTTCTTTCCCACAGCCTTTCTGCTGGATGCCTTCACCAGCAATTGTGGTTATAGGGAGAAGAGCTTAAAACATCAGTGGTCTTGAGTTGAAGCCCTGCCTTCTGTTATTAGGCAGCCAAATGGCAGTTCAGATCCCTGAGCATCACTTCCCATCTAAACAGTAAAAGATGTGGGGAAATTTCTTGATGTTATTTGCAATGCTGTGAACTACTTGTAAGCTATTATATAAAGAGAACAATTTACATATTATGATGATGGTGGCGATTAGTTTGGACAAAACTTAATATTTTATTAACTAAAGTTCATTACACTAAATGTTCCTAGGGTAAAGTCATACTAATTACTCATGGATAAATTCTTGTCTGGTGTAACATTCCATTATTAAGCTGAACTCTTAAGAACTAAGCCAGTACTCAATTGATACAGTGATTTTTCTGTGCCATTAGATATGCTCAGTTACCTGCCTTGCACTTAAAGACACTCAGCCTCTCTTTAGAAGCGTGATAACATTTTCCCATTTGCGTTTATGAGCAATTTCAAATTCCTTTCTTTTAATTAAAGTTTACTGGGGTGACAATGGTTAGTAAAGTTATATAGGTTTCAGGTGTACAATTCTATAATACGTCATCTATATATCACATTGTGTGCTCACCACCATATATTTGATCCCTTTTACCCTCATCTACCCCCCACCCCAACCCTTACCCTCTGGTAACCACTAAAGTATTGTCTGTGTCTATGAGTTTTTGTTTCTTCATTTGTTCGTCTTGTTACTTTGTTGTTTTCAGTTTTGTACCCATGGAACTTGAGATTATTATGCTAAGTGAAATAAATCAGACAATTTCAAATTCTTAAAATATTTTTACCTGAAGACTTTAACAGGCACAAGGTGAGAACCTTTCACAACATAACTAAACCACCAACATAGACATTCCAATCAAAATCCACACATTGCCCATATATTATCACCCTCAAGATTTGAATGAAATGATTTATTTCATAACATCCCTAGAGAGAGAGAGAGAGAGAGAGACAAAGTAACAAGCTCGGGAATTTAGGTCCGAACTACAATGAAGCAGCACATTTCCTTCAGGACAATTACTTATAATAATTACTCCATGTCTATTATTTTCTACCCACTATTACTTAAATGTAAAATATAAACTCTCCTACTTGAGAAATATAGAAAAAAAATCACCAGTATGTTAAGAAGAAATTCCACAAGGTAGATATTTCATATAAAATGTTTCATGCAACTTTGCAGCCTTAGCACTGGAATAATCTGATCTAATGTGTTTTTAGAAAGTAAATGGAAAAATGGAATAAGAGATATCTCTAATGGCTGAATGTACATAACTATAATATGTAAAAGGTAAAATCATCAACATTTAAAATGTATATACTAGTGGAAATTTGAAAGAATAAGATCTTGATGTAAAAAGACAGCAGCTTCAAAAGAATAATTAAATTCTTGGATGTGAAATGCCTCCTTGCCTTTTAGGAAAGCTTGGGATTGGCCAAAGTAAGTTCACTTTTATGAAGCTTTCCAGCCTTCTTTTAAATTTATTCCAAAAAATCAGAGACCTTTTTAATGAGTCAAAATTATATTTCATAAACCAAGGAACACATCCAGTTTTAAAAGAGTATAAAAGTAGGAGGACATTACATCTTCTTTAGGGATCAAGAATAAGGGAAGACAACGGTGAAGATATTTGAACCAGAGTTCCTTGCTACTTCCTTATTTTTTATTTATTTTTTTTAAGGTACAAAAAAATTAGAACACAAGTCAATATCTCATGGTAGAGGAAAATTTCAGAATTAAGAATAATTCTGAATCTTACATATTAGTTTCATTATAGTGTGATTTACTAATTAACATGGAGATAATAGTTCAAATTATCTAAATTCTCATTCCTTGAAGGATTAGCTCACCCATCATTATTTCTATTCGGTCTTTCATGCCTTGGTGAAGAGATGATGTGAAGGCTGTCGTTTTCCACTTATCTATTCCTTTCTGGTTCAGGCAATTTAATTTGACATGCACAAAAGAGAATATTTTTTCACAGGTATAAACATTGATACACTTTTATAACCTAAGCATCATACCCTAACAATTATGAGACATAAAAGACAACTTAAACATTCTACCATATACAATAGAGAGAAAGCACAAAAGAGACACTTAGAAGACGGGTTCTAAAAGCTCAGGAAGTAATTGTCTGTGTTCTTCATGCTACCAGTAGCTGACCAATGAGTCCAGAATTTCTTTCTTTGATTAATGTGGCAATAATAGTGGCACCTTGCCTTAGACTGTCCTGTAGCTTCTGCTCATCCTGAAAAGAAAGGATAAAACAATAATTACTCCCAAAAGAAAAGATGTCACACATTAAATTTTGCGGTTACTTTTCTTTTTCAAATTTAATTTATTTTAAAGTCCCCCCCCCAGCTTTATGGAGATATAATTGACACATACTACAATGGTATGATGTATGATATACATATATATTGTGAAATGATTAAGACAATAGTTATCACCTATCTTCTTAGAGTTACTGTTTGGTGGGGGAGGGTGTGAGAACATTTAAGATCTGCTCTCTTAGCAACTTTCATGTATACAATATTGTTAACTATAGTCACCATGCTGTACATTAAATTCCCAGAACTTATTCACCTTATAACTGAAGATTTGACCAACATCTCCCCATTTTCTCCACTCCTCTGCCCTTGACAATGAACATTCTACTCTGTTACTATGAGTTCTAGGAGCCACTTTTCAATGTCCACTGTTCTCTGGACTCGGCATTCTACAGAACCCAGACTATAGCCATAGGCATGGACTTGGTCCCCCAAATAAAGGAGAAATGTTCCTGGGAACACTTTTCATTACAGACAAAAAAATATCTGCTGAAGATACTAAGAAAAACACTGACACAATTTCACATACTAACAGTCTGAATCAAAAGATTATTCTCTTTCAATCCAATACCTGACCAACTTTCACTCTTCGCTGAAGTGTGAATATTTCATTGATGATGCAAACCTTTTCTTCATCTTGTTTCTGAGTGTCTTCCAATAACAGGCTTTGTTACAAACTGAGCACTGGTTGGGGGTGGGGGCACTGTAGGGGGAACCTGCTTGTTGTTTATGAAGCAAAGATCAGGCAAATTTATGAAATGAATGATCTCACAAGTAGCTAAGATGTGGTTTATCCTTTGAAAGAATATTGCCTATTAAAATATGTTTATTCTAATTATTGAGGCTTCTTCAAGCTACCAGGGGATGATAATATGAAGGGAAAGGGAAAGTGAACACAGAGCTATTATCTCTAAGGCCTCTGTGTTGTGAATTGTGCTATATTCACAAAGAGAGACTTGATAACCAACCTCTAAACTTGGCAGCACCCTTAACGCCTCTCCCAATGCTCACTAGGACCCACTACCTTCTAGCTCGGTCATGGTTCCTGAATCCATCTACTCCTCTCGAACTGCTGCTGCTAGCATAAGCCCTCCCTCCTGAATTGCATGAACAGTCTCTCTAAAGTTACATACTGTTCTACCCTATTTCCTACACAGCAGTCAAATACTTAAAAAAGAAAAAAAAATACAGATCTGATCCCATCACAGTCCTGCCTAAAATCTTCTGAAGGCTATCTTTAAACTTCAGGATCAAGCCTGGATCCTTTATCTGGTAATGAAAAGAGTCTCTTATCCTTCCAGCCTCTCCCTTAAAACCACTCAAATCTCCACAAAACACAGAACCGTTTAAGATCGCCCAAGCAGGCCATTTTCTTAACCTTTCCTCCCTTTGCACCAGCTAACCCCCTTTGCCGGGAAAGCTGTCCCACTCCCTTCCTAACTTAGCTGACCACAGTCACTCTTTGTGGCCCCACCCAGCTGTCATGGACTCCTGAAATCTACCCTGGCTCCTGTCTTCCACCAGTTTGGGTGAGGTGAATGTGTTTCCACAGCTGTGAATTCCTCTAGCACACGGACTTCTAGTAGTCTTTATAGTTGACCATTTATTCCACCAAATGATGCTTCTTGATGTGAAGAATTTTTCATTTTATCTTTGAATATGAAACACTTAGCTCAATGCCTAACACATGGTAACACTCCATAAATTATAACCAATTCAAAGCAAAGGAGGCTCTATGATAGAGATATCATCACCCTTTCAGTGAAACCCATTTGTTAACAATGGCCACTATTTCCTTACTTTGTGTACTCCTATTTGAATATTTCGCCAGAAGCCTTGGCAGCAGTACACAGAAGAACATTCTCTAAGCCTTACCACTGTCACCGCCTCCGCCAGCCCAGGCCCTGGGTTCCTCATCGATGAGGATGAGGATGAGAGACCACCGCTGTTACGCTGCTCTTTCCCTTCCATTTCCCTGATCTATACAGCTCTAAGGGGTGAAGCCGGGAAGAGGCACAAGGGGCTGACGGGGGCTATTTGGCTTCTTGCATTGTGGGTTTTAATGACATTTCAATACTGGATCTTAAATGCTGCACTGGTTTCCAGAATATCACAAGGCTTAATTCACATAAAAACAAATAATTCTAAAGCCAAATATATTTGGGTTTAAAATGTAATTCACTTATATGGGAGTAGATAATCATCCATGCATGTCACATCATAAACAAAGAAATAAGTATTCCAAAACTGAACAAAATACAAAACAGCCATAGATACGTATTTGTCACTGTTAATGATTAATTAGTTACAATGTTGCAGTTAATATACATGTACTCACAAGTCTCATTTATTAAATTAAGACATACAACAGATGATGATAATTAAGGTTTTCCCTTCAAAAATAAACCAAAAAGGCTATCTGTAGTCCCCCTTTGAAACCAGTTTATACTTGCCAAAATGAAAGCAGCCCAGTAACAAATGAAGATATGAAAAGTGTGGGGGGGAAATCTGTTTAAGATTCTGAGGCTAGAAAAATCACATTTCTGTATCTTAGAATAAATCTTCTGTGCTCATTTTGAGAGCTCCATAACTCACATATCTGTAGCTAGTAAAGAATTTAAGAATGAATTTAAGGATTCATTTACTTCTGCAACTTTTTTGTAGGCATCGTTTGGAAAGATTATAATTCAATGAGAAGAAGGTATGTTTTTGAACTGGATATCTGTTTTCCCTCTCTGCCTCAGCTCTGTTGATCATTATATCCTTAAAAAGTATGAAAATTTAAAACTGTATTAAACAGAATGGTGAGACACACACATACTAAAAAAATTCTGGTATGTACAAAGATCAGCTAGTCAAATAATTTATGGATTTCAAACTCATCTCACAAGTCCCTATCTCTATAAAAGTATTGATAACACAAGTAAAAAAAATGCAAACTCAAATAGACCTTTAAAAAGCATTTATTGATGCCTTTGGATATGAAAAACAGTGTTTTTAATCCTTGAGAGGAGGGAGCAAACGGGCATTTTAGGTGGTCATTTTATCACCATTCACTTGTATGTATGAATATATATGTACATATACATACATTCCTTTGTGTGTTCCAAACATTATATAATGTTTAATGTTAAGGCTAAGTAAGCAAGATCAACATGAACACTGAAAAATCATGTTAATAATATGCACTATTGATATGATGTGATGCAAAAGGCATTTATTTTTGTGGTCTTCCTCCCCAAACCCTTAACTCCAGTGTAATCATGAGAAAAACCTGAAACTAATTTAAAAAACAAAACAAAACATGTGAACATCTAACTAGACTATGTCAAATAAATTTGGGTAAACAGAGGGTGAATGAAAGGGTACAAAGAGGTACAAAAATGGCAAAATTGTGCAAAGGCTAAAAAAGTGAATACTCACCTTGGGCATATAAAACAAATGTCATAAACTAAACAAAAAGCTTTAAAAAAATAATGCATTAAGTAGAACACTAAGGAAATCTGAATAAACTATGGACTTTAATTAACAGGGGAAACTGGGTGCAGGGCTTACGGGAACTCTGTATGACCATCTCACTTTTTCTATAAATCTAAATATCAAAGTGTGTTATTTTTCAAAACATGTACATATGTGTTCAACCTCAGAGTCCATAACGGACAAGAAATATGTTGGGGATAAGAAATCATGACTAATTTTCATTGCAAAATATCAATACTATAAGCTAGACCTTATAAAGGAATTGAAAGAAAAGTGGGTACCCAACTTCCACAATAAAAACTAAAAGAAAAAATTCCCAAAATTAAATTTATCAGCAGTTTAGTCATTATCTGTAACTCTAGCAAATTCCAGGCTTAGATATTTTCTCTAGCAAAAAAAATCAAGTACCTTGATTTCTACATACCAGCCATAAAGAGCATATACTATAAACATGGCACCAATGTGTATACACCCACACACAAAAAATCATACATTCATTGAATTTAAAGAAAAACAGGAAGATATTTAATGATATACGATGTGTTGAAGTCTGCATTATTGTCATAACTGTAATTACCTGTTTTATCATCCTGTTCACTTCATAACAATGCCAAACTTTATATAAAAATGTTAAAATTATAAATTCTATCATCTTATAAAACAATAAAAACATAACTTCTAGCTGAAAAAAAATACAACATTTACACTTTTCCCCGGCTATAACTGCATTCATTATATAATACAAACCAGTAAGAAGGAAAAAACTCTACAGTAGTCATGTATCTTAAAATACTGAGAGGGAAAATACCAAAATATTAACAAGAATAATTTTTGGATGATGAATTTATGGTTATTTTTGTTGCCCCTGTGTTTTGCTATATTTTCAAATTTTCCATAATAAACAAAATTTATTATTCTAACAAGAAAAATTATTTTAAAATTTAGTTTCAAGACTTTAAATTCAGGGAACTAAATATAATTTGTTTTCATATAAAATCAACAATAAAGAACATTATCCAAATTTCCAGGGAATATTATCTCCTTTAAAATCCTCAAAAAACTGTACAAAGTAAAACATTTTTGTTTGAATATTCTAATCTTCAATAAAAACTTCAAGAAAGAATTATATTAATAATTCACAAGGTCTTAGGTTTCTGCTGACTTAAGAGTTTAAGGAAAACATCATGGAAGTCCAGCTAAAAATGACAGCAAAAATTATGTACTTACTTAATTTTATTTAGTATGTTAACAATAGCTCATTGAGTACTTGAAATTTCTAACAGTTGAATTTTTTAAATATTAGGAAGAATATCAGAGAAATTATCAATATAAAATTTTTAATTTTCTGTATCTTCAAAATGAATTACTTAGGATTACAACTCACCATGGGTTTTATCTAGAAAATTATCATAGTTAGCTATTTCTCTATTCCTTGTAA